GAGATTGCAGGAAATGTGTTATTACCGCTCCAGTTTACTTCCGGATTGCCCTAAATGTGACTTGAAGTTAGCTACCGTTTTACTTTGTTAACTATAGAACGAAACTTCCGTTGTTATCGAGATCGTCGAACATCGATTGGGTTATAGATTGAGAAATAGAAAATGAGACATAAAAAATGTGCTGTATCTTTTACTTTAAAATGGCTCTTGGAAGCACTTTAACCCGTTACCATAAAATCGGCAAGTTCATTCGATGCAGGCGATAAATTTATATGTAATTTATTTTCCTCAGCGGTATTATGAACTTGAGTCGTAAACCCCGCGCGAAACTAGAGGACTAATAAAACCCCTTTTATCGCCTTTCCACTGTAATCGATTGGAAAGCAAAACAGGAGATTCAACACGCTCCGCTCAAGCGCACTGGTTATCCCTGCTAATAAATATTTAATTTAGATCAGTTGAGTACTGTCCAATTTGAAACTTTATGACTTCACAATTTTACATCAGTGAAATCGTTTATTGAGTCAATCGAAAAAGTTTTATAGTCATATAAACATTGAAGTAAATTTATTGCGGTGGAGTATTACGAATATACACGCCTTATATTTTCTCTTGTATGTACATTTAAAGCTTTTGTTGTATGAGACCATTGCGAACATTGAGTGTTGCTTTGCGGTTGAAGCTCTTTGTCCGGAGTGACCCATCTAGCGAGGATGTCGAGCCGCCGCGATTGTCAACGATATTTTATCTTTTATCTTATATTATCAAGAAATATAAATCTTTTCAAATTATTATATAAATTGTTACATATAAAAGCACCCAACCTCAACAATTTGTGTAACTGTATTTTCGTTGGTTTATGAAGGAAAAAAAAAATAAAACGTGTTATTTTATGTTTAGACATGCATGGATTTAGTAGCGCTAGTAGTTGCGCCAATTCTATTTGCACGCCAGTAAAGGTCTACACTACATGTGCAAAAACAAAATAAGTGACACGCCAGTTCAATTTTTAAAGAGTATTGCACAGTGCGCAATATGTCGAGTGAACTTTCGGAAGCATGCAAAATAGTCGCTAAACTTTTAGTGGAAAAAAAGATAAAAGAAATGTAGAAAAGAAACGACGTGTCTCCGTTAAACCATGGATTCGTCGACCTACTTCTCCAAAACTTCTACGAGAACTCGCAGCAGAAGATTCTGCAAGGTAGAAGAATCATCTACGAATGACAAAGCAAATTTTGATACTCTTCTGGATTATGTTCTGACAAGCACTAGCATGTATATCCCATAAACAGGGATAAGATTCATAGCCTTCAAGAAATTTGATTGTCAGTTCTGCCGACCACTTTTTTTTAGCTATTATAAACTATATAAATTAGGACACAAATTTTGTTTTGCCGCACGTATTTGTCATCACTGGCGCCAGTGATTTCAGAAGGGTGCAGACTTTTCCGATCCATGCATGCATGATTTCAACTTGCATGCCAGTTGATGTTTACACATGTAACTTAATTTTACTGGTGCGCCAGTTTTTATCGACGCCACTACATCCATGCATGTCTGAATTCACCTTTAACCAAGGCCAACGGAAGCATGTCTGGTTAACGTCTTCAGACGTATGATTTGGGTTAAGCCGCACTTCTCTAAGGACGGCAGATTCGAAGACATTCGCTAAACCCGAATGTGTCTAGTTCTTCCGTTAGTTTTCCATAAATCTTCTACGTTCAAATGATAGACTTTACGCACGGCAGAAAAGTGTCCGAGCTATGCTTTTATTTCAATTATATGGGTAGTAGTTGCTATTCGATATTCACTAGAATACTGATGTTGATTTATAGATAAGTAATACATTCAACAAGAAGATTTATAATCTCATCGGTAAAAAACCATGACCAAATATCCAAAATATTTGATGAATTACGTACTGGTCCTTTTACGCCTGTTGAGGTTGTATTTATATTTTTTGCTCGAATTTTTACCCTCTTATTAGATGGATGTTTGTTACATTTTGTTAGGTTGTTCTCTATTGCACCCTAAAATTGAAGAAAAAATGTTTCATTCACCTTTAAATGTAATTATTTTATATAAATCTAATCATAATATACATAAACCAATGTCACTATACTAATAATATCGTAGATAAGAAAATCTCCCAAACGGTATTGTTTCAATGAGACCCCAGACAATCCCATATCGAATAATTGGGAGCAGTTGTGAGTCAGCATGGAGAGCGTTCCTCTGTTTGTCGATCCCAATCTTTCGGTATACACCACATTGAAATTATAATTGTATAATCTAACTTGTGGTGGGCAAATAGAGATACTTGGTCGATGGAAGGTCTAATGGGAATTGTCCGCTCGCTCCCTTGCGTTTCCATCGGCTGGTTAAGTTAGATTATGCAACTGCCTTCCTCCTAACTGCGGACGACGGCTGCAATGTTCCAAGATGCAATTCATAAGTTACTAACTAGTTACAATGGTATTGGAGTAATTGCTTTGCACTGTTCGAGTTAAAGAGGGAACATCTTGAATACGACATCTATTCCCGTTTCTACAACAAATCGAAATTGATCAATATCATAAATCTCATCAATTAAGGAAAGTTTTCTATTTTAGTTGATCATACAGAACACCTATATTAAATTCTCAAATAATAGTTTTTCTTTAGTTTGATCTGATAGTAAGGTCGAACTAAATGACTTTTCTATAACTTTCTTTTGAAAAGAGTTATTGCGAATGAAAGAATTCATCACATTGACATTTAATTAAGGCTATCTGAGTGCTTCCACTTGTTTAATCGCGCAGTCGCTGTAGAAACTTAATAAAGGACGTTTATAATCAGATATGGAAGCCCTCCAAATGTACTCACCCAATGGGACTGGGTTATTTATTTTCACTCTGTTCGCTAGGGTGTCATGAAAAGGAACGTGGAACATGTTACGATAACCGAATGTAGTACATATACCGTGGAACGGTATTTGTTTTCACGATGGACGTTAGCGAAAAGAAGTAAATTCGATTATTGAATTATAAACATGTTGTTCCTTCATTTTCTACACGCACATTAGTAATGCTAGTATTTTACTGTTGACGATTTTCATAGGATCGGGGACTTTTCTCAAGTTGAGACTGCGATAAATATTTCAGTTCGCTCGGAACTAGATCACAAACTTCCGCAAGCTTCGTTCGGTAGGGTAAATTTGATAAAATTTATATCTGTTTTTACTTCAAATGATGGCTCTTTGTTGGAACGCTTCAAAGCTTTTCGTTCGTTAGCGCGATATGTTCAATATATTTTTTTTTTGGTTTTCTGTCTTCGTTACTTTTTCATGATGGTAATTTACTTTTACCTTACCAACAAAGTTATATTCGTTTTATTCGATACACCCTCTCAAAATAAATAACATTATACAGGAACCTTAATTAAAACACGGTCCAACTTACTTTCATTTACTTCCCCTTTCGAATTGCTGCAATAAAAACACATGCAGTTGAGCGTGCTCTTCGTTCGCCTGATGAAACTTTTAACGTCAAAACACGTGCTGCTGCACGAATTTGTGAAAGTTCGCAGGAGAACTCTAGTGAACTCCGGATTATCGTATGAATAACGTTTTTCCGTATTAACAGCGAGCACTTAATGAATACATAATTTTATGAAGAATGGGCATTTTAATAAGTACTTTCCAAAACATAAAGCTTCGTTTTAGCAAACTCATAACGTTATACGAACTTTTAATGAATTATTTATTAAACGTCAGATATTTAATTTCACACGTTCACCTCTAGTACTAGAAGTAAAATTAATTCAATTTAAATTGTTAAACTATGAGACAGCTTCTGACCGCACTCGTTTCGTGTCGACTTTATCATCGTCCACATACGTCCCGCAATTATGTTTGAAATATTAAACCTGTCTGCGAAGAAAGAGTCGGTGTCATAATGTAATTGCTCTGCAGGGGTTATTCGAGACATCATTACTTAAGAAACCAAAAAAAATGATTTTTGTTTTTAAAAAAAGATGTCACATCGACACAAATCTCTAAAAAGAACAAATTTACGGTGAGATGTTACTGCAAAAATATTTTCTTGGAGAGGTGATATTTTCGTATAAGAATCAGGACACCGCAAATTTTTCTTTTCTAGCAAAGTTCTGTGGGTGAGTATAGCGAAGCTCCAATAATAATAAGTACTCATGGTGGTGTCGAAATGAAAGCCGGGAAGGAAAGCTTTTGTATCGGATAGCTGCTGATATAGTGGTTGACAGCAATCCAGGGTGAAAAGAAAACGTCTATTGCTTATAGCGATTGTCTGCGGCACATCTCGAGGAGCTCTCTGGTTTCATACGGGAAAGCTTCAACGTCACTGCCTGCATTTCTCGCTGAAAGTGGATGAAGCGCCTCCCGTGGAACAAACAGTGTTACCTCTTACGATAAGAGTGCTAGAGGATATCGACGTACTGCACTTTTTACTTGTAATTCGAGAGAAAGTTCGTGGATCTCTAGTACAAAGTTGAACTAGTCTAGACAGATCCAGAGCATGCAAAAAAAAACTACTCCAAAAAGGAACAATTTTTCCGGACAACCACGTCAACTGCTCGATTTAATAAAATGTTCCAGTTTGTTAGTAAAACCATTAAATCGAACTCTACCATTTTTACATGTATAGATGGACGTATTATTTTTTATTGCACACGCATTTGTGCAAAAATGGATTAGGTCATGCATAAACATTTTTAGTTGAAAAGTCAACAGGGAAACGATTGGCGCATCAGTTTTAAAACCAAAAATGGGTCCTACTCCCGGAATAATATACGATGCGTAGATAAGCGAAAAATATATTGCGGTGTATAAAATGTTACACAGCTATTCGCAGGAAATACCACCCGGGAAATATATTATTTTTATTACAGACACGTACCAACACATCTATCTGTTAAATTAGAATACAATAGCAATCTAGATAAAAATATGTCAGTATGAATAGATATTTAGTACACCAATGAAGTATATACATTCTTGTTTAATATTTATTCGTTTGAGTAGTACTATTAACCGTACCATTTAATTTAACGTATTTAGAATAAAATTAGTACAGTAAAACCTCGTAGCGTTGAATAACAACTAAAATTAGAACTAACTCTAACATTAGAACTAACACTAGACCTAGAACTAGAAACATTCTTCACCTCCAAGCATGCTGTCCCACATTCTTTTACCTTGATGTATTATTGCAGGAGGCAAATATTCACCAGCAGCGTTGACACATGCTAAAACTGTGGTTGTGGTAAGACCACTGCCTCCTGTAACTCTCTTGGCGGGTTTCCTTTCTGACAAACCACCTTTGTAGAGCCAGGATCAGTACAAAATCCGTTAACAGTTAAAATCCGATTAACCGTCTTAAGAGACATATGGCTAAACCAGAATGTTTCTAGTTCTAGGTCTACTGTTAGTTCCACTTTTACATCAATAAAAGTATTGTAATAATTTTAACATTCTCTTAGTTCACCGAGAGAACATAACCTAGAATTTGTGACAGAGAGATTTTTTGTTGGTGAAAATCTTATCTTAAACCGTTTTGTTTACTTCCAAATGTATCAATTATTTATAATTCAGCTCCTAAAGCACATTTTTCATCCATCTTTTGAGGTTTTAACGTTATTTTGAGGAAGAAATCCTTGATTTAAATTTGAATTTTTCTAACTTTACTCATTGTTGAAATTTGGCGTGTACTCCAATGTATGTCTAAAAACAAGAAAAGACAACGTTGAATACGAAGTTTTATTACGTTTCATAAAGGAATAAGGGAGAAATCAACGAAAAAAGAATTAAATTTTGAAGGTTAATTCCGAGAAAAATCAAGAGATGACGCTAGTTTCGAAGCAAGAATTTTGAATTTTGAAAAGGGCGCGAAGCTAAGGGCCAATCAGAAACGAGGAAAAAAACAGTTGGAGTGCCGGGGTATATAAGGAGATCGCGAACAGGGAGTGAGAAAGTCGTCGTCGGACCAGCGTTGAATCCATGTCGTCAGATAGAAGAAATTTTGAATCTCAAGAGATAACCTCAAAAATTTAAGATAATCTTTTTAAAAGTCAAATCAACTTACGATATTAAAATAAAAAGTGAATCATCCTACAACCTATTCCGAGTACTACTGATACTTCTTCAAGATCATCCAAGACCCTATTTCCGAAGAACAAACAGTTCAATTTCCCGTAAGAAAAATCCTGTAGACAATCCAGAAAATTAGTTAGTGCCCCGAACACAAGAGACAATCCATAATCCAGATACCACATTGAACTCCAATCCTTTCTTTTTCACAGTGAGTCGGATGATAATTTTATTTTATTATTTTACATAACCTACAAAAAGAAAAATCAAAGAACAACTCACAAGAGTTTCCTATAATTTTGATCAATACTTGCTTGTGGGTAAAGATTTATTAGTTTTCTTGAATAACGTTCATTTATTTAATTCTATTTTTCTTCAACGAGTTTGATGACAACTTAAGACATCGGCCATTTGTTATTTTCAAGGAACGGTTCTAACGAGTTTTATCCTACTCTCTCTCTCTCAAATAATAAACGGGTTCTCTCTAATATCGATATTTCAGTCGATAACCGCAGTTATCTATTTTATTTAAAAGTTATCTCTCGTAAATAAGCATTGTTATTAAAGTAAATTTAGGAAAACCATTTTCTTTTGTTACTCATAAAACGAGTTAATTTGATTTTGTGTTTAATTAAATGAATTTTTTGTCGAACCTGATTAATATTCTTTTGAACCTGAACTTGCCCGAAACCCTGATTTTTTTTAATAAGAGTCTCTTAAAATTAAAGAAACCCAAATTTATAGTTTAATAACTTGTGAAAAAACACACTAGTGAAACATCACAGTATATAACAATCTAGTGCTGAATAACAATTAAAACTAGATCTTTTACTGTATTTACTATTCCATCGATGTGAATGTACCCTAGAATAATAATATCTAACTTGAAGTGGGTTTTGTTAAGATAAAGGTAATTGGCCTCATTCGGCTTAGTCATCGATATCGTCTGATAATGAACGGACTACAACGTGACTAAGTTAAATAACACTGCGACCTGGTCCGAGCAACAACAGTTTCCCGGTTCTCTGAAGAGTTCCACTCGGAGCGCGTGAACGGAATTAATTGCAATTAAACGCCCTACCCCCAATCGTGTCTGCGGTTCCGGACAGAAAGTTTTCTAATTAAAAACTTAGTTATAAATCCACTTGTCGACATTCCGGTTGCTGTCTGCATATGGACCAGGCTAACGTTAAAACTATTTGACCTAACAGTTATACAACTCTGTTTCTACTAGTTGTTGTGCACTCATTCAGACTTCAATACTTTCCACTTGTTCCATTGACCCCTTTCGGAAAATTATTTAAATCGGAATATTGAGTTGAAAGCGACTTAATAATATCGATCTATAAAGAAAGTGTTTTAGTCGAACATATTTAACCGCTCAAATCGAGTGCATCAATTTAAAATTTAATTAAGTCCTGTAAGCTGTAGTTACGCAAGCTCGTTTTACGGTCGTGGTGTTCGAAAGCAGAAGTCGCTCTCGAGCATGCCTCTCGCGTCCGGAATTATATTGTTTGAGACCGGATATATGGGGCAGTCAGGAAGCGGTGCTTAGCCGGGTCATAAAATGGCGACACAAACTCCATCCACCGATTACTTCCTTCCCAGTCGACCACAGATATGGCAAACCGACGAAGTTAGCACCCACGGGCAGCAAACAACCTCCGATAGCAAATAACAGCCGATAACTTCTTGGCGTTATCTGCCGCGAAAATGGGACCCTCGAGATACGAACGTAAGCTTTTGAAATCCCTAGACTAATGTCAATTGAATCACCTCTCGCTGGTAACAAAGTAAAAATAAAGGAAGCCAAGTTAACTTGCGGATGTGTCTCTATACTTAGTGGGTATTGTTCTTTTCTTTTAATGTCAAGAATTCTAGACTACTTCGCGTTCAGAAGGAACTTACCTAAAACTGTCAGCTGAATGGGCTTTCCGGTGACGACGAATCCGTAAGGATTTTCAGCTTCGCACTGCCACCTGCCATCGTCCTCTAAGCGGACGTTCTCTATGAGCAGATTGCCCAAGTTGTCGACGAGAAATCGGTGCCCCGTAACGCGCTTATTGTTCGCATTGTCCTTCAGGATCGTCTGAACGATCTGGCCGTCCTTAAGCCAGATGCTGGTACTGAAGGTGATATTCACGCCGCAATCGAGGGTCAATTTGACATGCTGATTCGAGTAAATCTGCACGAATTTCGGCTCGGCTCCTGATGAGGAACTCGACTCTTCGACGTCCCCATTTTCATCGCTTTGATTCGTTCTGACGTCAGCTCGAATCGAACGGTGGTGTACACTTCCGGTATGCGGATGGCGGGTGTGCAATCTCGTTTCCGCATGACCTGAAAAATAAATCTCGGTTAAGCAAAAACCTATTGAAACGCAAAGAACAAACAATCACGAAAAATTAAACAATGTGTCCAAATTCATCGTCACATACACGGTATATATTTTATTTATTTCAAATTTAATTTATTTCGAAATGCATCACTGGTAAATGTTTTATTATTTACAAAATAAAAGGTTATTCTTTAATATAGATTTAGGTTTCAAAATTTGAAATAAATACGAACGATTCGTTCGTCGAAAACATTTTATTATAGTTTTTCCGTGAAATTAATATTTGCTTTTTATTAATGTTTAATTAATTAAATATTTTAAATCGTCAACTCAATATTAAACGTATAAATATAATGGATTATTTATTCTTTTATTTTATTCCTCATTTGTAAACACGACATAAATTCGATGTCTCTATATTGTGTTAGTGTCTCGTTTCATTCGATCGACAATAGTCCATATGTTCGAAAAGAACTCGACGTTAAATTTAAATTCAAATCGTACTCGTCTACGAGCGAGTTGTGTCTCGAAAAAGCCGGCAGCTTTGCGCTTTTCGCGGTCTTTTGTGGTAAAATCGTGGGCGACGCAAGTTTCATATATCAAAGTTCCCGGCCGATTGTACGGGAAAACCTGTCAACGACGAAGTTTGAGTCTCATAAATATGCATCTGAACCTGCATATCCTAATCCACTTCGGGGTTACCACTCGGGAGAAAAAAATCTATATTGAATTCCGAAGCTGTTGTGATGCCCTACCAAACTTTTCCACGTCCGAGAACGTGAGCAATAGAATTCCCTGAGTTATATTGTTCGGTCTGCATTCAAATATCTACCGGAAATATTGTTATTGAGATATCACGAACGCTATCAACTGTGGTCATTTTGACACTCTTTGAAACGACGTATTGGTATTCCCTAAAGCATTCGTGGAACGAAGCATAAATATCTACTTCATTAACTAGAAATGAACAAAACTAAACTCTTATATCACATTCTTTTATTTCTACCTTAACGGCAAAAGTAGCAACTAATTAACTGGTAGGTTTCAGTTAGCGGATCGTTTATTTCCCTATTTCCAAGAAAGCTTTGGGCGGAGCTGCACAAATAAATTGCCATCCTCTGTGGTATTTGGGATGTACCTTTGAGCAACGACGGAGCGCCATGTTAATTCACTGAGTCTAATTAAAATAAATATCCGTTTCGACTTGTTACCACTGAACTGCACGTTTCGTGAAACGCCTTCCACATCCATTAATGTAATTGAATGCAAATTTTTGGAGGAATTGGATAAAACGTTAAAAGTGGTGATGTTAGGTTGTTCCTTTTACGCAAATAATTATTGTTATTTGAAACCAAAAAAATTTGATATTAAAACCATTTTTTAGCATACATCGTAGCAAAATGTTTTATGATGAAATAATAAATTATTGATCAAATGTTGAGTTCTTAAAAGATTTCTGAACTCGACCAAAAAGCTACATACGTAGTACCTAGCATGTACATACATAGTAAAACCTCGATTACTCGTAGTAAAACTAGAACTAACACTAGACCTAGAACTAGAAAGTTTCGGGTTTGGCCGTGCGTCTTCAGTTGAATGAAAAATATACAACAATCTAACTCTGAATAACAACTAAAATTAGAACTAACACCAGCATTAGAACTAACACTAGACCTTGAACTAGAAATATTCGAGTTTAGCCGTCTTAAGAGACGTGGGGCTAAATCCGAATGTTTCTAGTTCTAAGTCTAGTATTAGTTTTAGTTCTAGTGCAAAAAAAAATATACAACAATCTAACTCTAAATAACAACTAAAACTAGAACTAACACCAGCATTATAACTAACACCAGCATTATAACTAACACTAGACCTAGAACTCGAATCATTCGAGTTTAGCCGTCTTAAGAGACGTGCGGCTAAACCCGAATGTTTCTAGTTCTAGGTCTAGGTTAGTTCTACTTTTCTCCGTTATCGAAGTTATAACAAGGTCGGATATATCGAGGTTTTACTGTACTAGCATATCATCTTATAAATCTCAATATCCGAAATTCCTATTCGATCTTGCGATTTATCCATAATCTTCTTGTACGGTTGAATTATCTATTGATTAAATAACTGGTTGTGTTGGTCTGGTAAAGGTCTTAAACAAACCGTTCTCATTTTCACAGTCGAACGGTCATGTTCCGTCTTCCAAGTGGAAGAACCGCCGACGAGGACGCTCACTCGAATAAGCAATTCTAATTTAATTTCGTAAACAGACGACACATTTCGTATTGAATAGGATTAGACGGGATGGACGGATTTTCGTAAGACAATAAAATCTCCATTAGGATTTCAAATGGAGTTCAGAGACGTACCTTCTGCCATTGTTTCCACCCTCCAAGTAAGTGAATCACGATAATTAAATATTTATTTTGGTGAAGCAACGCTGATACGACAAATAAAGCTAAGATTACATTAAATTTTCCCGAAACGTTTATGTATGAAAACCTCGCTTTTAATGTTTTCACTCTCTGATAGTAAATTAGTAAATTATTACCAAAAAAAATTTGTTAATTCTTTGTAAATGTTCGTGTATTTTTTTTGGGAGTGGATGTAACGAACTAAATTTCCATTGCATTCCGTATTTTTTTTGCGATTGTTTTTGGACATGTGCATCAGGGTCGTTAATTATTGTCAGATTTAACGTTTGTTGGAGTGCCCTTTCATTTTGTATTAATTAAAAGGGATCAGCACTGTTATATTTATCAAACGAAATTTAATTTTATTTAATTAAAGTTGAATCGATTTTTCCTTTGGTGTTTACACTTGTACGAAACATATTAAATTGAATGCAGCTGAAATTTGCTACCGTTTTTTCAGTTAAGTAGTACATTAAAAGTAATTACATTTGCTACTATTTAATGAATTAAAGTTCAGCCACTTTGTGAATTGTTATATTTTTTTAACACACATTATTTCAAATTAGTCTCAACGTTGGTAAGCTGAACTCTTTAATACCATTAAAATGTCATCAAGGAAGCTTGAGTGCACATTAACTTCTCCAAGTGGTTCGCTGAAATTAACTAAATAGATTGCTACCGAGTTTAGAGTGTTACGTATATCAATTTTAACCAAAACTACTTTTTGATATTAATTTGTTAAATAAAACAATTACATTAATACATAATTATTTAAATAAGTTACATCAAAATGATTTTATTGACTTAATTAATTTAATTAACGACATCAGGATTATTTCTAGATTGATAAAGTTTCAATCAACAATTTCTGTTGTTGCAAAACTTTGTTAATTATCAATAAATGGGTATAGTACTCGAAATGTTTACGGTGCCCGGTAACATTCTATATGCTGGTAGGGCCCCACTTTGTAAAATTATCCCTGCGCGAACTTGCCGAACTTTAATTAACGTCAGCATTACAACTTGTCCTTAATCGATACAAGAAGTTCGAGCTCGCGGTTACAACCATAACCATAATTTTGGAAGGTACGGAGATTCTGAGATTCAGTTTCTATGTTAACTATGAAATAGTTACCTTAACTAAAAGAAATTAATGAAGTAACTCTAGGTGTATTAAAATTAATTATAAATCTTTCGATTTATCAATAGTAAATTAAATTAAAATAATAGCTATAACTAAAAGTGGAACTAAAACTACACCTAGAACTAGAAAATTTCGGGTTTTTTCCGTACATCTTCAGACGCACGGCTAAACCCAAATGATTTTTTTAATTTTTTAATTCTCTACAAATCTTTAGTACATGTCCCAATATCTATCAGTTACATATCTTAAGATATTTAATATAGTGTCATGTTCTTGAATGGTACGCATCCGATTTCGCAAGCCACATGACTAAACGACCTGGTCCGTTTCGATTGAAATTCATGTGTGCACCTTCCGGAGGGATGATCAATATTCAAATGTGGCGAGGTGGTGGTATTTCAAAGGGAGCTAGCTACCAGGATGAATAGGCGTTGCTAGGAGCGTCTAATAAAAAAAACGCGTACACCATGTCAACGTAAATACGATGCTTACGTGATTTGCAATCGACGCATTTGGCATTCGGAGTATTCGTTGACCGAATTGTTAATCAATGTTTATTTGCGGAAAATTCAATTGAAATGTTCAACGTTCATCCTCATACCGGGAAATGCATTTGAATTTTTACAATAGCAAAAAAGTTGATTTACGATAACATATAGCACTCTGTTCGCGTGTGGATATCGTTCAAATTCAGTTATTAATTATTGCAATTTATTTATCTTTGTTGTAATTTGCGAATTGCTATTAATTATTTTTATTTGTGCAACCAACTAGTTTAGTGGGGGATTGATGAGGTCGACAAAAAAATCAATGCTTTTCTCATTAAAATGTACCGCTATAAAAATATCCGAATTTTGCATTCAACCCGTTTTAAGCGAGTTCAACAATGACACGATTCGTTTTTTTTTCAAACCCGGCGTTATCCCAAGCGGTGGATTAATATTCCCTCAAAAATAACCGATATCTGCACTTACACAGAACGCAATCGGAATCGTAATGAAAGCTATCTCAGATTTTAATTAAAAAGCAAATTAACGTGCCTAGAATACGAAATCCTACTGTAGATTATCCGGATTGCAATCTATCGTTTCTAGGCCGTTTTTACCTTCAGACAATCTCTACCTTTCCATAATACCAAGTAATTCTTCTTTTAATTAGAAACTCTTCGAGAAAATGAAATCGATTATTTTGAGTATTACTCAATATTTTGTATCATATTTACTTCGTATTAAATTAATCTTTCAAAGCTTAATTCTTCAAAGTTTATAATTATCTTTTAATCCATTTGAACTCCTCCTAAATCCTTGTTTCAGTACAATTTCGTAATCTAAAATCTAATTAGTTTAATGACAGATTTAATGTAAAAGTTTTCTTTTAAACAACTTGACAGAAAAATATTAATTTGACATTTAATTAAATGAATTTTAATTTAAAAAACTTACTAAAACCTATATTTACCAAAAATAACACAGGGCGTTTTAAATTTGGAAGTTGTCCGTATAAAAAATCAAATGTTGCGATACAATGTGATCCTAAACCAACTGTGAGGAAATCGCATCCAAAAGAACGTGAACAATTAAAACGATTCGGAAATTATTGCGCTCAAATATTACCAAAATTCATTCAAAAAGTACAAATAACAAAAGGGGATGAATTAGAAATATGTATCGTTCCCGAAGGAATTTTACCAGTTCTTCAATTTTTAAAAGATCATCAAAACGCGCAATTCGCAAGTCTTTGCGATGTAACAGCCATAGATGTGCCGAGTAGAGAGTATCGATTCGAAATTTTTTACAACCTACTTTCGTTACGGTTTAACTCTCGAATTCGTGTGAAAACCTACACGGACGAATTAAGCCCTTTAGACTCGTGCGTTTGCATTTTTGAAGGCGCAAATTGGCACGAAAGGGAAATATGGGATATGTTCGGAATATACTTTTTGAATCACCCGGATCTTCGACGTATTTTAACAGATTACGGGTTTCAAGGGTACCCATTGAGAAAAGATTTTCCATTATCAGGATACATCGAGGTGCGATACGACGACGAAAAGAAACGTTGTGTGTACGAACCACTTGAATTATCTCAGGAATTTCGTCGATTTGAATTAGAAGTACCCTATGAACAGTTTCCGAACTTTCATAAATCTGGTCCTTTACCAGAAGATGTCCCCTTTGACTGTAAACAACATAATGAAGACAATTAATATTTATGATGTTTTACACTTTTTTCTTTATATCTTTTTATATGAATTTGGTATTAAACATGATTGAAATGTGAAATAAACTGGTCTACAAATGAAATTGTACAGATTCAATTGTCGATAGGTATAAATTCAATAAACAAAGCGTTCGTTTTATTCGGAAAGTACTCTCTGTTCGTATTGCCGGTGGCCACGTGAGCTTCGTAATTAAATTCCGGCCTTCGGTGGAACAGAAAAGCTCTCGAAACACGTTCCTCCGGCGTCCGGCCGTTTAACGAGCCCGGGTACGTGCGTCCAGCTCGGTCGGCCATTACAATTGCATTTTAAACTGCGCGAGCCCTCGGTCAGGTTTTATAAAACAATTACCGCTTAAAAGTTAAGGGACCGCTGTTAAATATTAACCAACGCCGACCACAAAACCCTTGCTCGACGAGATCCCTCCCTTTACTCTGATGTCGTTGAGTTATCGCGCTAGTTTATTCACTATTTCCAGGAACCATTTTGACCACACCAACGCATAAATTGCAGCTGCGCTCTAATTATTCAACTCTGCGATTGTATTGTAATGATAATCTAAGGAGATATCTTTCACTGTTTTCTTTTATATGCACGCAACAGTTTTTAAATAGGTTTATTGTTTTTATCCAACCTATAAATCTATTTCAGAATTTAAGTCGTTAATCAAATGTATTTTTATTCAAGGTTTTTATTTGGACCACGAAAAACCTGGTTGCTAAGTTTTGTTTTCTAATTAGTGGATATTTCTAAATATCCACTATATTTCGAAATACATTATCTAGATGTCGACGATTATATCAAATATCTGGGAAACTAAAAAACTTTTACTACAATTTTTTTCATCTATTAGTCCTTATTTGTCATGAGGAATAAATACCCAAGTTTGTGCGTATAGTTGGAGAATCACCATATAGATATTTGAAGAATAGAAATTAGTTGTTATGGTCAAGTAGAGCCAATTTTAACATACGGGTCACAATACTGGCAGCACACTACGAAAAGAAGAAAACACCTTGATTGCGTTCACAACGCTTACTCGATTCACCCAGGTTTAACCCTAGTCGTTCATAATGACATCCATTATTATATATGTTGTCCACATGGATGTCATTATGAACGACTAGGGTTAAACCTGGGTGAATCGAGTAAGCGTTGTGAACGCAACCCTTGAAATGATGGGGATGGACTTTCTAAGAAGAACATGCAGAGTATCAAGATTGGAACATGTACTAAATGAGAAAACTAGGATTTGTACAACAATTAATGGGGTGGAAACCAAACAGTTGATATGGTATGGGCATATGATGAGTTGTCTGCTTTCCCACCACAGAATGTATTTGAGTTTGATTTAGGTTGGTTGTGTTTTTGGACACTTGATGTTGACATTAATGGATTGAGAAACAGTATAATTTAAAATAATTGCCTTTCGGCGAATGAGATGACATAAATGTAGTAAGGTTCGATTTGATTTAGGTTCAGGTTAATAAAATAAAGTAACTCAAATAACCGATATTCAGCAGATGTTATTTTAGGTAGAGTTGGAGTGAATGTTTTTTATTTAGCTAGATCTTAGCTGTTAAATTCTTTTAAGTATATATTATAACGAAATTTTAAAAACATTTAGATGGCTTATCGTAAAATAGAACCTTGTAATTCCAATGTAATATATAAGCTCACAAAAATAACCTAACAGCGACAAAAAAGAATTAAATTAACTAATTCAAATTGAACTTTACAATTTGCATATCGATAAGACAACGAGACATTTATATAAATTCTATATAACATCCATTTGTGAAGCAAATAGGATGACGATATTAGGGTAATACTATAGCAATTACGACCCTCTCATAATTTGCATATTGATTGGTTTATAAATATGCATTGACTGGCATTATCTTATACCTTCGATCAACACAATTCGGCTATAGTAATTTGGCGCCCACCCTAGTCTATAGGTTGTAATATTCTAGAGATAATGCGTATCCTCCTCTCTGAGTAATTATCCGATGTAACCTAGCTATACAACGTTAATACGCCAACGTACGTATACGAGAGCAATTATACGTATGTAGTGGTTATAATACACGAACCCAACATTCGCAGACGTGGTGTAAACGATATTAATACGATACTAAGATTAATAATACTGACCTAAACCGGCGCGAGAACTTACCAATAGAGATACAACGTTGCATGTTCAATATTGGTTGAATATAAACATACATGCAAAACAAATAGACAATGACTACTATTATTTGATAGTAAGAAATTGCCGTAAGCAAACTAGGAGAATAATAGCTATGTTCCGGTTGGTATACAATAGATGCTACGGAGATCTCTATCTACGATTATATCTTAATTGTGTCCGCTTGGTGGAAACTTGGAAGTGGACGATAAAAGTCGTCGCATAAATCCCGTTCATAGCGCCCTATAAAACTGTTTTTATTTTTTCTATTTGAACTACCAGAGCTTTTTGATGCTGGTTGTAAAATAAATGGAACGCATATTCTATTGCGAATCAAACGTATGAAAACAAAAAAAAGCATATTCGAGCACAAAACAAAATTTACATCGTCCATAAAAAATGATATGGTTTTAAAACACAATAAAACAATAATACCTGAATTGGAGTGAGAGTTAAATATTCGAAGTATGGATATAGGTTCTAAATAACACGCCACAAATATACCCGAAAAATTTTTATTCACAATACTCTTTAAGCACATTAAATATTAACTAAATTAATTTGAATTTGCGCAACATAATGTGGGAGTGTCGAAAATAATGTTCGGAAATGACAGATCTCTGGTAATGATGGTTAACCACAATTTTCCACAACAGCATATCTGGCGAATAAACGAGTTTATTAAATCAATTGTACAATGGCATCCTGACATCGTCAGTTTGCCGCAATACGGTTTAATCCGGTAGAACCGTTTCCACCCGGAAATGAACGGCACTGCTCCCCACGAGAACAGTCAGATGGTTCCGTTCGTTAATAAAGCGCCGTAGAAGAGAACGGCGAAATTAAGATGTGCACGTGAAATCTGAAACTTAATTTGTGACAGAGTTGCATTAAAATTTATGATCTTGGTGAAGGAGATCTAGTGCACTGCGTAACTTCGCCTGTAGCTACCGCGACACGTCCACATTTCACATTTAAATCTTAACACATTTCTCCTAGAGGGCGGACGTGGTAATATTGTATGCTTATGTGTAATAAGTTCTCGGCAATTCTAACTTCCCAACATGGCAAATCTAATTAATGCATTAATTATAGAGAACAGTCCTGTGTGGAGATGCAGACGCGAAATCTTCTCGCTACCTTGAAAACTGATTTTCTAGTTTTGGAAGAAAATTTAATATTCTCCTTGAGACGAGTGTCCTTCTAATTACATATTCGTACTTTCTTGTAAGGGTGTGCATAATAAATTTCCTTCAACTTCAGTTAACAAGAGTAACCAATATCACAAAAACGTTTGTAAGATTAGATTTTTAAAACACGGTCTCTTAAATTTGAATAAAGGCCCAGTTACCTTGAACGTCGGTCTTTCTACTAGAATATACATCACGCACTCTCTTCAACTTCTTTCCTTACATGAAAAGAAAATTCGTATTGCAAACCACGAACACATAAAACGGACCCACCGAGCGAAAAATCTCCGAGTATCCAGTTTATTTCGTACTATTTTTTCTTTCTTGTTTCATACCCGAGGGCAATGTCAATGTTGTTTTCAGAAAAGCACGTACATATAGTATGTGGAGTGTGTCGTTCTTTAACTCGAACTCAGTAAGCTACTGCACGTGTAAAACAGCTTGATATCATTTGAACTGGGTACGATTCTGCGGTTAGAAATATGCTTTCAATTCAACTCATCACGTATTTCCGATATTATTTTCGTTTATAGAACACTATTTCTTGTTTTGCGATTATTTTTATGAACAATTATTAATTATTTAATAAATAATTAGTTATTTTATTTTATCTAAAACTTTTTTATTGTTGTTTTCAGACTGCTCATAAATAAAGTTCATCGGAAAGGATACTAGAGATACCAAGTACGGCAAGAACAAGTTTTAAATTAATTGTGAAAATATCCACATCTCTTTTATCGTATTACTCTGAAACTTTTGTGATAAATTCTAGCAATAACGTCCCCGTCTTTGAGAAATTTCTTGTTTATTATCTTTTAAAAAGAACAAGTTCCTAATTTTATATTTTCCCTACGTTAAAAAGTTTATTTTCATGAATCTCGAAATCCCGTTCCAATTAAATTAATTAATCCCACGTTAACAATTCTGTTAGATACAGAATTTCAATAAAAAAATAAGATGTTAAAATAAAAACTCTCTTTTATACAATAACTATTGTATAGGAAGATCCGTAGATTCACCTAACGTACAAAATTTAATTCCATCGCACAAAAGAGCGAACCACCTTCGCAATTAGATTAGGGCTTTATCAGTGCGGATGCTAAGCTATAAATTCACCCGAGCGAATTATCGACTTTCTGCACTTAATCCGCAAAGTCACGTCCTGAGCGTAAAGTCAAAGAGGCCGTAAATACGTGACGATGGATGACCAGCCATTGTGGTTAACTTCGTCCTCTTGTACTACGGACTCCCATTAATTCCTTTATTATCACCGAGCGAATACGAAAATTTTAAGGCTTCTTCGGTTAATTTTAAAATTTCACCGAAACTTTTAAGTTAAAACGAAACTACACCGAAATCAATCAATACTATACAAAGAAACGTCTCGGCTGGAAAAAATATTGCTCAAAGTACATTTAATTAAAAGTGGATTAGCGAGACGGTTTTGCGAGATCCGTCGTTCAAACGGGCGAATATTCGTTAGTTCGTTCGAACGGCGCAAATAAATCACGCGTTTTCGTATCACTGGGCTTTACGGTCGTGTATTCGCTTACACAATGCTTGCTGACAGTTTTCACAATAGCGCGGCCTATTGTAAAAAACGTTGCGAGTTTATTGAAACTCAGCGCACGCTTCAGACAGATACTAAATTATGGTCGACCATTCTAATTCCCTTTTATAAAACCAACAGTTATCTTTCAAAAT